GACCACAGTGCCATTTCCCTTTGCTAATATATCTTCAGCAGATATTGAAAGAAACTCTGGCTCACAAACTTCAGTGTAGGAAAACCTAGGATTCGCTCTTTCCCTTTGCGCGGAATATAATACTCGCCCGGGACATAGTAAATGAACACGGACCGCTTTGAATCTGGACTTCTAAACATGTCTTCTTCAGAAACACAGAAGAATCTCCATTTTATATGTAAGACCCTATCTGTTCGTTTTTCCGCTTGCTTCGTAGATATATGATATACATGGGACACGTGTATATATATATGTATATTTTGTTTTGGGTATTTTATCAGTCGTATAAAAGTCCCTGTGAGAACAAACTATGTTTGTCATACCTTCTCGTTTCAGCTATTGTACTGTCCGTGAACTACGGTGTTATCATAGATATAATAATACCCATAATGAGGGAAATATAAATGTGAGAATAAAATCTTGTTTCCATATAGTTCTCCTATTATAGTCTCAAAAATAGGAAATTCACCGGAATTGGTTAAAATTATTATCTGATTTTCTGGAATTTTGGCCTTAACAATGTTTAAAAAACTTGAACAGTTTTGCTCACAAGACAAAGTTTGTTTATTTTTGTTTTTCTCTTTAAAAAACATCCTCTCTTCATTCTTAATGATAGAGTAGCTTATTTTTAATTTTTATGCTTTATTCATATATCAAAATATAATAAAGCCATATCACGCAGAAAACATTACGTACTAATACCCTTGGGAAAGGTATGAATCCTCTTCTTCGCTGCCCACCCCCACCATATGGGTAAATAGCAGAACAGACTGTGTTCTACTGCGGGAAAAATATGCCTAGTCAGTCATCCATCGAAAGATACATGATCACCTAAGTGTGTATCACACATGGCACATAACTGACTGACTGACGTGCTGATACTCTTGAGAAAGGTATGAATCCTTTTCTCCCTCCCCCGCTATGGTTAAATAGCAAGACAGACCGTGTTCTATAGCCTTGGACTGCAACTGGTCTACGGCAGAAAGAAATGGCAACCTACTGCGAGGAAAAATCTGCCTTGTTACTCATGTATCAACAGATACATGATTGCCTAAGCGTGCATCAAGTATGGCCCATAACTGACTGACTGACTGACGTTTCGTATTATCTTTATCTATAAAAGGCAGGATGTGTGTGTGTGTGTGTGTGTGTAACGAATGCACGGCCGCAATTTTCGACAGATTTGCACCAAAATGTACATGCACATGCTCCAAGTTAGCGGAAGACCAAGACCGATTTGCATTTCCCAACTCCCATCGATAGTGGAAATAATCGATTTTTTCATGCTTCTACGGCAGTTTTCATGTAGTTTGCGGCCATTTTATACTGGGCAGAGAAGAGAGCCTATAGCTGGTTGCCACGAATAGGCAAGAAGATTCTATTGGACAGCGTGAGAGCCAACAGATGACTGATACGAATGTTAACTAGCATTCTAGCATGCAAAAAAAATCGATAGCTGCATTCATCACAGGTGGGAAAAATTTAAATCTTCATGGCACTTTACTCCAATTGGCTCATTCGCTTGCTTAAACTCAACGTTGATTCTGATTCCGCAAAACTGGGTTGGGTGTGAAAAAGTATTTGTTAACTTTCATTTTTTTCATTCGGTTTTTCCAATTAGGAGTCCTTTTTTAAAGCTGATCGTTTTGTGTTCATTTCGTTTAGTTTTTTTTTCGTAACAGATTTAATGTTTAGTATAAAGCTTAGAAAAAATTAGCAGTGTGAGATAGGCAAGAAGTAAGGCATGTAGCAACATCAGCACGGCAAAGGGCACTCCTTAAAAAAAGGCAAGGAAGGGCAAAAATATTTTAAGTCAAGTGATAGCGATTGCTGTATGAGTCGTACGATTTTTGAATCAAGCACGGGCAACGCCGGGCCATGCTTTTTTGCTATTATTATTATTATTATTACTATTATTATTATTATTATTATTATTATTATTATTTCTCTAGTATTTATTATAAATTATTATAATTCCTTATATTAACATTATTGTTGTTGTTGTTATTATTAACAAGGGTACGGTAGAAGAGAAACTTATACTCTACTATATTTATGCCCAAAACTCGAGAAACTTTCATTGATCATTAATTTACCGACCCCCAAAGAGGACATGGTGGGTAAATATATATATATATATATATATATTTTAATCAAGATATTTCAGATGCGATAGCAATTTTTTGTACATAGAATCCAGTAGATGATAGTTTGAATAAAATATCAGTAGCTACATAGAACCGGAAAAATACTTCTTGATGGTCACGTGCCCTACTGACGAGGTAAATAAACTATTATTATTATTATTATTATTATTATTATTATATACTTTGATTTCTGGTGTATACATATTTCCTTCTGGATCCCAACCAGAGACCTAAGATTAAAAATGGTTTCATGGACATTTTCCAACCACATTTTTAATCTAAGACCACATTCATTTTACATAAATAAAGTCCTTCGTAAGCTGTGAACTGTACTTGTGAGAACAATTTTTTTTGTATTTCTTTAAGGAATGAATCTTTATAGTTCAATCAGTCTATCGGGGCCTTTTCTATTCAAACCGAGGGGATCCAACTAGAACTGGAATTAAAGAAGTCATTCTATACCTCATTTTTGAGAGTTGGAATTAGAAGGACAAATAATGATTATTATTATTTATACGTCTATTATTATTATTATTATTATTATTATTATTATTATTATTATCTCTACATATCTTATTATAAAATTTCCTTTGATTTAGATTGTGTATTCATTTGATGCTAAAACTGTGAAACCTGAGACAAGATGGCCAATTGTTTTTTGAATATGTATCAAGAATCTAAAATTGCAAATTATTATTATTCAAATTATTATTATTATTATTATTATTATTATTATTATTCTCGAATGTTGTTATTGTTGGCACATCAAACGCTAATCAATGCAAAGAAATTGACTTTGAAGAAACCTTTGAAATTTCAAAAAAAGAATAAAAAAATTTATTTACAGTCATAAAATAATCTTTATTCAAAATACTGTTTTCTCATTATTGTGTGATCTGAGAAATAATCACGTTGCTGAAGGACTTCAGATTTTTAATCAACACTATATAGACTATGAACAATTAATTAAAAAAACGATTTAAATATATATATATATATATATATATATATGCTTATCAGATGTGATGAGACTGAAAGTAAATATAAATTCGTTCGTTCATTAAGCATTTTTCAGTTTCGATACCAATAGTAAATAAAGATATTTAGTTATTTATTATAATTTAATCATATAGACAAAACCATTTTACTCACTACAAAGATGCAACTTGGTTTCATTGCATTTCAACTGCACTTCGACAGTTGTATGATAAAATGGTTATGAACAATCCTGCTTATAGGCAAATAGTTTCAAGTTGCATCTTTGTAGTGAGTAAAATGGTTTTGTCTATATGATAAAATTATAATAAATAATATATATATATATGAGAATTTCTACCTTTTTCTCAATTGGTTCATCATCTCTCTGTCTCTGTCTCTCTCTGAATCTCTCCAAATCTCTCTCTCTCTCTCTATATATATATATATATATATATATATATATATATATATATATATATCCTGAAAAATTAATTTCAATAGAAACTCTGGGAGGAGGTGTGGGTTTTAAACAGGGACTATTATAGCTATATATATGAGACTCTTCGTAAATGCGAATTGAGTCACTGTCGGTCACTGGGCGTTTTTCTAAAAATAAAATTTTAGTTCCATCCATATTTAATAACGTGTGCCGACGGCTTATACGGTTATAATAATATGCATGACACCAATTCAGTCAGGTTTCGATCCTAGCTAGAGGAGGCAACCGGATAGAGCCCCACTGATGATCTGTGAATGACGTTAAATATATATATATATATATCTGACAGTTCGTGCCTCTCTCTCAGTTGGTTGATATCTATCTATCCACACAAATATATGTGTATATGTATATTAATCCTTTCGTTATCTGTCTCCCTCTATATATCTAACTGTTATCTTTCTTTCTGTCCTGTTTCAGCTATTTCATTATAGATATATACTATTATTGTACCATCTATATTCTACGTACATGATCATCAATTTTATATTTTCCCATTTCCGTTTAGCCTCTCTTTTATCTCACTTAATTCAATACTTCTTCCTAACGTCCTTAACGGGTGTCATTCTTTTAAAATTGCCATCGTTGTAATTCCGCTTCCGGTCATTTCTCTCCGTTATTATTATTATTATTATTATTTTATTTTCTGTATTTCATTCCATCTTTTTTCTCTTTATCACACTGTTTTCTATTACTTTCTTTCTTTTTTCCCCCCTCCCGTGTGCACTTTTTAACTTGAGTTCTTTTCGCTTATCTCCCCTGATTTGCCATCACCTAAAACGAAGGCTGGAAATTACATTTAATACGCTGAACCGCAAGCGTAGAGACGCAATGAAAACGAATAAAGACAATCTCGATTTAAAGCAGATGAAAAATAAAAATCAGGAAAAAGGTAGAAGAAAAACAAAAAAAAAATACGGATTTGAACTCACAAATAGATCTACTGATTTAATTATTGTTATTTTTTTTTTCAAATAATGTTCAAAAAGACAAGCTGTAAAATAAATGAAAAATTATGTTTAGCTTTTTCCAATTGCCGCATCTTTCGTTACATCAGCTGACCCAAAAAAAGAACCGCTGTGGGTCTTTTCCGATCTCTGCAAGATTCCCTTTCTCCAGTACGGGTGCCATTGTTTTTGGGCTTGTTCATTTATTAATTCTTTGATTATTTACCATTTATCTCCAGAGACATCGCTTTCTTTGTCATCTCTTGTCATCTCTTTTTCTTTAGCAACGCAATTTAATTATTGTTTTTTTACTTTTTTTTTCTTTTGTTTTTGTGTGTATGTGTGTGTGTGTGTGTGTGTGTGTGTGTGTGTGTTTTGGTTTTTAATCAGATATCTTTCTGCGATTGTATTGTTCCTTATTTTCTACTTTTTCTTCTTCTTTGTTTTACACCATCTTTTACACCTTCTCCTCCTCCTCGCATTTGGATTCTTTTTTTTTTCTTCCAATTTTCCGTTACACCTTCATCATCATTAGAAATTCTTTCTTCTTCTTCTTCTTTTTCTTCTTCTTTCATCATTCAAGAGCCTTACCTTCCCATATCATTTTTCTTCTTCATATATATACCTTCATATAAATCTTATAATCCTCTTTCTTCTTATTCTTCTTCTTCTTTGATTCCCTAATTTTTATTTTTCCAATCTTTTCGAATCAAGATCATATTTTTTCTTCTTGAAAGAATTTCTTCTTCTTTTTTTCTTATAAACAATTTATTACTTCATTCAAAAAAATTATTGGACATATAAAAAATTTATCTTCTTCATTAAATCGCTTTCGGTTATTATTCTTTATTTATAAATCATTTTTCTTTTCTTCTTCTATTCTTGAGATCTTCATCTTCTTGATTCATTGCTTTTTTTTTTACTTTTCTTTTTTTGAAATCTTCAAAAAACTTCCTCGAAAAAAAATGATTTAGATTCTTCTTCTTCCAAAAGTCTATCAGAATGGAGGGAAGGAATTTCTTCTTCTTCTTCTTTCTTCTTCAATTGTTGAATTTCGCCAAAATCTTCTTTTTTTCTTCTTCTTCTATTTTTCCTTTTCTTCATTTCTTCTTTTTTTCATTTAGAAAGATTAGGAACAAACGTTCTTTTTTTTTCTTTCTTCATCATCATTCAAAAAATCTTTGATTTTCCCTTAGTGCCTTAAATAATATCGAAAAAATAATTATCCAACTTTTATTATAAATCTTCTTCTTCTTCTTCTTTTCTTCTTCTTCTGCAATTTCTTCTATTCAGTCTTCTTTTTTTTCTTAATCTTCAGATTTTTTTGTAATTTTTGAAAAATAAATAAAATTTATTTATCCTACATTTATTTTTCTTTTTCATTCTTCTTCTTCTTAATTTCTTCTTCTTCTTCTTCTTCTTCTTCTTAAAAATATTCTTTCGTTTCGTCGTCGTCGTTTAAATTCTTTTTTTTTTCTTCTTCTTCTTAGACTATTTTCTTCTTCTTCTCATTTTGATGTTGATGTATTTAATACTTCCTTTATTGCTTCATATTCCGGAATTTTTTAAAATCTTTCTTGTATTTTCTCCTTTCTTCTTGTTATAGTTATTCTTTTTTTCCTTCCTCTTCTTTTTTTCTTCTCCGTCATTTTATCATATAGTCTTCACTTTCTTTCTTTATTACTTCTTCTCAGAATTATCTTACTGTCTTTGTTTCCCGTTTCTTCCTTTCTTCTTCTTCTTCTTCCTTAATCTTTCTAGAGCCTCACTATCAGTTCTTTCTTCTCCTTCTTTTTTCTTCTGCTTTCTCGTCTTAAATTTAAATCTTCTTCTTGATGTTTATAAAACCTTCCCTTTGTTCATTTCTTGTTAGTAAAATTATTTTGCCATTTTTTTCGCATTTTTTTTCCAATTCTTCTTCTTCTTCATTTTGCCAAATAACCTTCACTTTCTTTCTTTATTACCTTTTCTCAGAATTAGCTTTACCAGTTTCCAGAATCATTAGAAAGGGGGATTTAACGAATTTTTCTCCTTTCATCTGATGTAATAATATTATTTTTTTTATTTTCTTCTTCTTTTTCCGCTTCTTCATTTTCTTATTCTTCTTCTTGATGTTACTATATAACCTTCAATTTCTTTATTTCTTCTTCTCTGAATTATTTTGCCATCTTTTCTTTTTTAATTTTGAATTATATCCTAAAAATTCTTGTTATTGTTTTTCTTTTTTCTTCTTCCTCTTCTTCTTTTTAATTTTGCCATATAACCTTTTGTATTTCTTTCTTTTATTATTCCTCAGAAATTATTTTTACCATTTTTCCAGTTTTTCTTCCTTCTTTTCTTTTTTTCTTTCTTTTCCTTTTTTTTCTTTTTTTTAATTTTTTTTATTTTTTTTCTTCTTTTTCCTTCTTTTTGGATTTTTTTTTCATTTAAATAGGGGTTCTTCTTTCATCTGATTTAATATTTTTTTATTATCTTCTTCTTAGATTTGCTTTGCTTTTATTTTCTCTCGTTTTAATATATTCCTTCTTCATCTTTCCGTTCAGTTTTTTGTTTGTTTTTTTTTGTTATTTTTTTATCTTCTTTTTTTTTCATTTCCCATTTGCCTTCACCCTTTCTTTGTTTTGCTGAAACCTTGTTCCATTTTCGTTCTTTAATTACAGGAAATTCCTAGAATTCTTCTCCTATTTACTCTCACCCTCCGAGAATTATGTCTTATTTTTTAAATTTTTTTTTCTTCTTCTTCTTCTTCTTCTTCCCCACCTTTTTTATTTTACGCTTCGATCCGTTTTGGCAAATGTATTTCTAATTTCGTTTTTTTTTTTTTTCATCTTTTTTCTTTCTCCCACGGTTTGTTTTTTTTTTACTGTCCTTTTTTTTTTTTTAATATGATATACGGTTTCCTTCTCCCGTTTGGATTTGGGTTTTAAAGAAATTCATTCCGTTTCTCCTATCGCAGAAATGAAAACTTTATCCCATATAATACCAACCAATCAAGCGGATTCTCTGTAACGAGAACCGATCGTCGATGTTGGACTCAAGGCGTTGATGTCCAAAAAAGATAGGCTTTGCCGAGAAATGAATACAATCGAAGCTGTTTTGCATGTCATCTCACCAAGGCCGAGAATTAAGCTGACGTTGACTGGCGCATGCGCTGAAATCACTCTTCTATATGTGAGTTTAAGTGAGCGCGGACCCCTTTGGGGAAAAGATCAATCACTTGCTTATTTGATCAGAGATCATAACGTCATTTGTTCAGTCTGTGATTTCAGAAGGCCGGCTGACATCTTTAGCAAGTAAAATAACCAAATACTAAACTTAGCAGAAAGTTTAAAAGTAACTCAGAAAAATATCGGTATTTGCTTACCATCAGTCCTTTTGTTGTTACTGTTGTAATTTTTAAATAAATAGTTATTAATATATGGTGATTTTCTAAGTGTAGCTTAGATGTGACACAAGGCCAAATTATGGGGCACCTAGTGTGGATCGAACTTACATTTCAGTCATAATTGTTCTAGTGAGACAAGCTTACGAACCATTACTCCACGGCGCGGATTCCAAAATCAACTGTTGCCGAAATTTAACTATCTAATGCGACAGAGTAATCCAAGTAGAAATTGTAATGACAAAATATGCCTTTTCAAAGTAAAACAAAGTATTAAGAAACAAGAAAATTATGTTTGAAACTGCTACGTAATATTCATACGCCTATATGGCAATAAATGGCAATAAGATTGTGTAAATCGATGGAATGTCTGGATTTCTTCTGTCATAAATTTTTTTTTTTAATATCTATCGATATTCTGGCATTCGGAACAAAACAGATTTGGCGAAATAATTTTATCTCTTCACTGAGGAATTAAGAAAAAACATAACATTATGAAAACGAATTTAAACAAAGAACGAAGGTCGAAGTAATGAAAAGAGATCTTGTCGTTAACGAGCAGTTGATCTGGTTTATATTTTCGCTTGACAGAAATAAGCGCAGAAATTGAGAAATTTATCTCTTCTTTCAGAATTTAGGAAAACTAATATCGATAGCAGGAGAGAGATAGAGAGGTCTGGATTATACTTACATCGAAGGAGACTAATTGAGGAACTTAGAGAAATGTAAACAAGGAAAGGACCCTTTTTAATGGCCGAAGTTATGAAAAGAGATCCTGTCGTTGACGAGCAGGTGATCTAGTTTATATTTTCGCTAGACAGAGATAAGTCCAGGAATTGAGAAATAATTTTATCTCTTCCTTCAGAATTTAGGAAAACTAATATCAATAGCAGGAGAGAGAGAGAGAGAGAGAGAGAGAGAGAGAGAGAGAGAGAGAGAGACCTAGATTATGCTGTCGTTGACGGAAAATAATTGAGTAATTTGGAGAAATGTAAACAAGGAACGGACCCTTTTAAATGGTCGAAGTCATGAAGAGAGATCTTGTCGTTAACGAGCAGTTTAAGAAATATTTTTATCTCTTCCTTGAGGAATCAAAAGTATGAAAATTAACGACCAGAATAAAGCTATGCACTTCCGTCCTCATACTTTAAAAATTAGAATTTTCGCAAAGACAGTTATGCCTGCCCTTGAGATGGGCTGATTACAGAGAAAGGAGGAGGAAGAGGGAGAACTTGACACTGCCGGTGTGGAGTGATGGTGCGAGATGTAAAGTAAAATAGGATGGAGTTTAAGGGAGAGGAATCCCTGTAACTACTCCCAAGAAGGTGGTCCAAATTTAAAAAGTTGATTAAGAAACTGTTGAAACTTGAATAATGCATGGAATAATAATGCAACACAAAATGTACTTAGAACAAAATGTATTGAAACAAGAAAGTGTACACAATATTTACATATAGTCTTTTGTATATTCCTGGTAAGACCGTTCCTGGAGAATGTGTTGACTGAGTCGCAGTCGGGCAGAGTCTCTGGTTGAATCTCTTGATTCCTTCCTCTCTTCCCGGTACCAACCATATTTATATGGTCGGTACTCCACTATGCAAATTAGGTGGATCCTACCACAACAGAAACCAAAAATGGGGAGCAAAAATATCTTATTGGGATTAATGTGAAAAATGAAGAATCAACGAATCCCAAGAAACCCTTTGACCTTGCGCCAGTTTTGGTGTGAATGGCATATAAGCAGATAGCTTTGACAGCTCGAAGACTTGCGTCGTGAATCCTACCACACAGAAGCCTCTAACAGGGAAAAGAGAGGATAATGAAAAAGAAAGACTGAACAGAAATTGAAAAAAAAGAATGGGTCAAGGGAAGTAGGTAGACATTAAAAATAAAAAGATATGTGGCGATTGATGAAGAAAGAAACAAAAAGAACGTAAGAGAAACATCTGATAAAATTGTCTTCGCAATTTTTCATTGGACAATTTACAGAATTGACAGACAATTTACAGAATTGACAGACAATTTACAGAATTGACAGACAATTTACAGAATTGACAGACAATTTACAGAATTTACAGACAATTTACAGAATTGACAGACAATTTACAGAATTTACAGATTTCTCTCTTGCGTTATAAACATGTTTCCGGTCAAAAATTACAAACTTCAATGTTTTACAATTGTCAATTCTTTTGGCACTAGCGGCAGAAATATTTAGCCTGGTCGTTCAGAAATAAAGAATACGAAACTTTTGGAATAGGCATCAATAATAATAATAATAATAATAATAATAATAATAATAATAATGATGATGATGATAATAATAATAATAATGGTGATGATAATAATAATGGTAATAATAATAATAATAATAATAAGACCACAAACAAAAACGGTGCCTCCTTATTGATATATATTGCTGACTGCAATGTATCTTTGAAGATATTCAAAAAGCTGTCAAAATCTCGAAAATGTGGCATATGAGAACATTAACAATCCCTGTTGTAGTTGGAGCCCTAGGACTGGTTGGAAAAGATTGCAGTAGACTAACTGAAGGGATTCCTGGAAATCCATTCATCAAGGAGATACAAAAAAATTGTTTTGAAAAGTACAGCCCACACTTCACGAAGGGCTTTATCTATATCATTTTTTTTTTGTCAGTGGAAAGTGTCATGGTGCCATTTCTAACCTTAGGTCCCTGGGCGGGACCCGGAAAGAAATGTGCAAACGCCAGAAATCAAAGAAAATAAAAATAATAATAAATAAATGAATCAATAATAATAATAAAATAATAGTTCTTTTTGAAAAAGTCTTCAAAATTTTGACATTTTTTAGTATAAAACGATACTAATTTTACATTTTTTATCTCTTTCAAAGTTTCTTTCGCAAAAGAAATTAAATTAGGATGCTGATATTGCTGTTGGTAAAACTGTTGCGATGATGATTTTGTTGTTGATGATGATGATGATGATGATGATGATGATGATGATGATGAAAAGAGCAAGAATTCGCCCCCACCTCCGTTCCCACCATTCCATTTAGAATTGATCGATGCAGCCGTTGGCGCTCTTTGAACTTTGACATAGAAAAAAAATTGGAATAGAATGAAATGGGGTACAATTAAATGAGGAAGAAAGCAGGAATCGATCAACAACGTCGATCATTGTTCGGCATTTTTGGCTGGAGGGTTAAATATGGACACGAGTGAAGAAAACAGATGGACAGAGAAGGAAAGAAGAAGAAGGGGGAGGAAGAGGAGGAGGGGGATGAGAGGAGGGAAAGGAGGAGGAGGAATGCGAAAGGAAGATGGCAACAAGAAGAAGAAGTAGAAGAAAGAAAAGAAAGAAATCTAATGAAAAACATTAAGAAGAAGAAGAAGAAGAAGAAAATCGAAAGAAATTGAAGAAGAAGAAACACGAAATTCCATTTAATTCGGGAAAAAGAAAAAAGAGAAAAACAAGGGTAACATCAAGAAGAAGAAGAAGAAGAAAAGAAGAAGAAGAAGAAGACAAAAAAAAAATCGAAAGAAATTGAAGAAAAAGAAGAAACAGAAAAAAATAAATTTGAAAAATAAGAAGGGAAAATTAGAAAGAAAGAGAAATCTATATAGTAACATCAAGAAGAAGAAGAAGAAGAAGAAGAAAAGAAGAAAAAATCGAAAGAAAAAGAAGAAGAAGAAAAACAAAAAAAAAAGAATAAATTCATAATTCTTGGGGAACTTTAAAATAAAAGAAGAAATCTATATAAAAACATAAGAAGAAGAAGAAGAAGAAGAAGAAGAAGAGGAAGGAAATCGAAAGAAATTGAAGAAGAAGAAGAAACACGAAAAAAAGAATCTAATAAAAAAGGGGGAAGAAGAAAGAAAGAGAAATCTAAAAAAAATAAAGAAGAAGAAGAAGAAGAAGAAGAAGAAGAAGAAGAAAAAGAAGAAGAAGAAGAAGAAGAGGAAGGAAATCGAAAGAAATTGAAGAAGAAGAAGAAAGAAACAAAAAAAAAGATGGCAAAGAAGAATTTGGGGGAAAAAGAAAGAAACAGAAATCTATAAAAGTTTAACAAAAAGAATAAAGAAGAAGAAGAAGAAGAAAAGAAGAAGAAGAAGAAGAAGAAGAGGAAAAAAAGAAAGAAATTGAAGAAGAAGAAGAAGATATAAAAAAAGAAGAAGAAGAACATAATCTGGGGAAGAAGAAAGAAAGAGAAATCTATATGGTAACATCAAGAAGAAGAAGAAGAAAAAAAAAAGAAGAAGAAAAAAAAAAGAAAGAAATTGAAAAGAAGAAGAAGAAAGAAGAAGAAGAAGAAAGACGAAAAAAGATGGCAATAATAATTCAATGGGAAAAAGAAGAAAGAAAGAGAAATCTATATGGTAACATCAAGAAGAAGAAGAAGAAGAAGAAAAAGAAGAAGAAGAAGAAGAAGAGGAAGAAAATTGAAAGAAATTGAAGAAGAAGAAGAAGAAAATGAAGAAAAAATGGAAAATAAAAGGGGAAAAAAGTAAAAGAAATAGAAAATATATGGTAAGAAGAAGAAGAAGAAGAAGAAGAAAAAAAAGAAGAAAAGAAGAAAGGAAGAAATTCGCAAAAGAAATTGAAGAAGAAGAAGAAAAAAAAGAAAAAGAAAAAAAAAGAAGAATTCTGGGGAATTATCTAAAAAAGAAAAAGAAATTAAATAAAAAAAACATCAAGAAGAAGAAGAAAAAGAAGAAGAAGAAGAAGAGGAAGAAAATCGAAAGAAATTGAAGAAGAAGAAGAAGAAACACGAAAAAAAGATGGCAACATAATTCGGGGAACTCTAGAAAGAAAGAGAAATCTATATGGTAACATCAAGAAGAAGAAGAAGAAGAAGAAGAAAAAGAAGAAGAAGAAGAAAGAAGAGGAAGAAAATCGAATATTTTTGAAGAAGAAGAAGAAAAAATCTAAAAAAAAAGAAATTTAACAAGGGGAGGAAAGAAAGAAAAGAAAAATACAAATACCATCAAGAAGAAGAAAAGAACGAAAAGAAGAAGAATTAAAGAAGAAGAAGAAGAAGAAGGAAAAAAAGAAAAGAAATTGAAGAAGAAGAAGACAAATAAAAAATAAAAAGATTAAAAAAATTTTTCTGTTTGGAAAAGAAAAAAGAGAAAGAAAATTTAGAAAATTAAAAAAATCAAGAAGAAGAAGAAGAAGAAAAAGTGTGAAGAAAAAGAAGAAGAAGAAGAGGAAAAAAATCGAAAGAAATAAGAAGAAATCGTGAAGAAGAAAACAAAAAGAAAAATTCCATTAAAATAACGCTAAAACTCTAGAAAGAAAGAGAAATCTATATGGTAACATAAAGAAGAAGAAGAAGAAGAAAAGAAGAAGAAGAAGAAGAAGAAGAAGAAGCTTTTTAAAAAAAAAAGAAATTGAAAAAGAAGAAGAAGAAAAAAACAAAAAAAAAGATGGAAAAATAATTAAATAAGGGAAATTCTAAAAAGAAAAGACTCGTTTTTATTTGGTAAAAAAACAAAGGAGCAGAAGAAGAAGAAGAAAAAGAAGAAGAAGAAGAAAATCGAAAGAAATTGATAAGAAGAAGATTTCGAAAAGAAAAGTAGCTCATGGATAATTTTAGAAAGAAAAAGCTTTCTATAAAAAAAACATCAAGAAGAAAAGAAGAAGAAAAAAAAGAAGAAGAAGAAAATCGAAAGAAATTGAAGAAGAAGAAGAAGAAACACGAAAAAAAGATGGCAACATAATTCGGGGAACTCTAGAAAGAAAGAGAAATCTATATGGTAATATCAACAAGGAGCAGAAGAAGAAGAAGAAAAAGAAGAAGAAGAAGAAAATAGAAAGAAATTTATGAAGAAGAAACGCGAAAGAAAGGTAACATAATTCGGATAATTGTAGAAAGAAAGAGAAATCTATATGGTAACATCAAGAAGAAGAAAAAGAAGAAGAACAAAAAGAAGAAGAAGAAGAATAAGAACAAGAACAAACGCGAAAGGAAGATGGCAAGATAATTCGGGGAATTATAGAAAGAAAGAGAAATCTATATGGTAACATCAAGAAGAAGAAGAAAGTTAAAAAAAAAGAAAGTGAAGACGGAAGAGAAAGAAAACAACATAAAACAGAAGACAAGACTGAAAAGGAAGACATCAGATGGAAATAGAAATCGTAATAGAGAAAAAGAGGAGAAGAAATTAAAAATAGAAACGAAAGAAATAGATAACATTAAAAAGAAAAGGCAAAGAGAAAATTAAAAAGAAAGAACTCAGATGGAGATAGAGAGAGATTGTAATAAACAAAACGAGGAAGAGAAATTTGTAAAAAGAAACGAATGTAATAGAAAATATCAAAAAGAAATGGCAAAGAGAAAAATGAAAAAGATGAAATCTGATGGAGAAAGAGAAAGGGTATTTGTAAAAAAAAAAGAAATTGAGTTAAAAAGTGCAAAAAGAGATGGTTAGTTATTAGAAAATGAAGATAAAATAAAAGAATCATTAAATGAACATCCAAAAAAAAAAGAGATACGAAGCTATAAAGAAAACGGATGAGAATTTGAAAAAAGGGAAGCATTTAATAGAATACTTTAATAACAGATGTTGATAAAAAGACTATTAAAAATGGGAAGAAGTGGGAAAAAAATATAAAGAAAGATTATGAAGAACATGATTTGAAAATTAAAAGAAGATTATCAACAACGAAATTCCAAAGAAAAAAATGAGGAGGAGGAATAAAAAAAATTAACCTTAAAAATAAAACAGCATATAATTGTCTTTTTAATTTAATTTTACGGCATAATTTATAGTTTCAATAAACAAGATTTTTAAGGTAAAGATCACAATGAATAGAATATGTAATTTTTTATTTTGATTGGTTTGGTTTATTTTGTTTTTCAATTTAATCAACCTCAATGGTTATTTAATGCCGACAACATTTTTAGGATAGATTCATATGAATAGAATATTTATTTCTTTGGTTTAGATTGGTTTGGTTGAATTTGTGTTTTAAGGCATATCATTTAAATGGGTTATAATAAATGCCTAATTTTTAGGAT